ATTAGCCCGAGCACCACTTCTCTATGGTCGCTCGAGCGGCTGCTCGCCCTCCTCCGTCTGAGGTTCTGGATCTGAATGAGGTTGAGACTCCTCTGACCTCTGAGCAGTCTTCTCAGAATCAGATCCCTGTCTCTCCGTCGATTCCTTCGGGAATACTAATGAAGGAACTCAAAAGGACCCGATCATTCAGGAAGGTCAGGGATCTCTCCTTTGTTAATCCCTTTCCCTTTATTATTCCTCTTTTGCATGAAAAGAACAGTCAAACACACAACAACAATAACACAATACAAATAGGAAGTCTGAATTTTGAGAGGAGGGAAACCCTTTTTTCCCACTCTGCAAAATCAGAATGCTCATAGGTGAAAAATGGGCGTTGATCAAAAAAAGATAAAAGCAAGTACTTCGGGGAACTATCCCTCACCCTAGCTTAGGACTATTATGCAATATCTAGATACTTAAGGTTTATCGAATATGGTGTGAGATCTTTTTCGTGGTTATCCACTTGCCTCCGAGTATGCCCTCCCCCCCCCCCCCCCCCCACAAAAAAAAACCCATTTATAGTCACCTCGATCTAGGCTATCGTATCTAGGGTATTAAGATCGTAGCTCCTTTCAATGGGTACTACCCACCGTCCACACCGAGGTTTCATCCCGGGTTCTATCTAGGAAGTCATTCATATGGTAGGGGTTTGGTTGCCTCAACCACCATAGGATCATATTCATACATCTAACCTCAATTTGTTTGATGACGCATACCCGTCAAACCCTAAAACTTCATACCCAGCGTAGAAGCTCAAATAGGCAAGTAGAGAAGATTAGGGCGACTTACCCAAACACAATCAAAGATAGAATAGCATACAAATTAACTAGATAAACACATTCATTCATTAAAACCCTAAAATATCCACATACATAGTAACCCTAAAACTAGTGTTTGGGGTTTAGAACCCCTAGTACCTTAGAGGACTGCTCTATAAAGGACGGGAGAGCCTCCTCTTCTTCTAGCTCCTTCTCTTTCTTCTCCTCTTCTCCTTCCATTCGCTTCTCTCTCTTCTCTCTTTCTCTCCAGAAATTCTATCTCAACATCAGCTCTCTTGAATGGGGGAAATGAGACTTCTATTTATATGCATCAGAGGATGGAGAAGATCGCGGGAGGGATCTTCTGCACAGAGTCTGCGATCTCCGGACGATGTCGTTTCGGCCTTCGGGGGCGAGGACTTCGAAGGCTGACTTCGCAGTCGCGGCCGCGAACTTCATCGCAGGCAGTTTGTGCTTCGGTCGTGTTCTGCCTGGGGAAAATCTCTATTTCTCCTCGGCTGCTTCTTTGCGAAATTCGCGACTTGGGCCCTCCAAATGGCGAATGCGATCTTATGCTTCTAGGCCACAGTCTTTGGCTTGTCTTCGCAGGCATTGTTCTCTGTCGTGATCTCTAGCTACAGGCTGCGATATTCAGTTTTTTGGCCCATTCTTACACTTGTGACTTTATTTTGTACCTAATTCACATGTATTGTCTAAAACACCCTAAAATCACCATGAAATCAAACAGGAACAAAATAGGGATGCAATTGACATTGATCACATAATTTATTCACATGAACTGACACGAAACAAACCTTTATATGAAAGGTGAATAACACCAATTTAGGTGTTATAAGGTATTCTATCACACCAATTTTGCTTGTACTATTATAAATGTGTACTAATACACTCATACACTTATATACTAAATAATAATAATTTTTCTGTTTACTGCATTAGTTTTTTTATAATAGTACGAAGTGAAAATGTTAACTTATTAAGTAAAATACATTATCACAATAACATATTTATGTGACATATTCCGATGCCATAAAATTACTAATATATACTCACATAACTCAGTCACATGCCACCATGATACGCGATAAAACCATTTATGTAAGAATATAGTTGATGGTAGTGAATTTTTTTAAAATTTTTTAACTAAGTTATGTAAATATGGGCAAAAGCGCAATTGGTTAAAGGAAGTCGCAGAAAAATCAATGTTATAGAAGTATAGAAAACGAATTCGACATTCCTTACCTATTGAAGACAATGTAACTTTTATTTTTCTCTAATGCAACTCATTCTCTCATTTTATTGTTTTGACATAAATCATCTTTTTTTTAACTGTCATGCAAACTAAATAAAACAGTGTCTTTACTTTTTCGTCTGTTGCAATTCTAAACTCTCTTTTATTGTTTCACATAATTTCTTTCTTTGTACTGTGCGCATGAAGATAGAAAATCTTTGGTCATATATATGCTTAATTGTGATTTTATTATGTCTATCTATTGATATTTTGTCGGCATTTCCTTTTTCTTTGGCTAAGTATTTGGAATTCGTTTTCTTGACCTATGAGAGTAACCATCTAATATCATTAGGATTAGAAGACCCGTCAATAGTGCGAGGTTATAACTGCATGACCATTAAATTGTAGCTCATATGCATATGGGTAAAACTATAAGAGGTACCCTCGTTGATACCAAGCTCCTCTAGTGTTTTAATGAAGTCCTCCCAACCTAGCGCAAAGTCCGAGATGTAGTGTACAATGGAGCTCATGATGGCAATGAATGAGAGAATAATGGACCAACTTGGATTTGGGGATAATTACACATATTTTACCCTTCATTTCCTGATAGTTTGACTTTGCAAATCGTCGTCCCTCAACCTATTTTACGCTAGGGTGTGCTAATTGTCTCGCGCGCCCAAAGGTTGTCATGGTCACCAGACCGTGACAATTATAAGGAGACCATGATGACGGACCAAAACGACACTAGAGACCTCCGTGACAATTGCAAGGAGACCGTGATGACGAACCAAAACGGCACCAGAGACCTGCGTTTTTGGATTATGTCACGGTTTAAGGTCCATTGTCACGGTCGTGGCATTCTACCCGTGATTGTGACTTTTGGGCTGTATAAATAGAAGGCAGTAGGGAGAGAGAAAGGGGACCTAGAACTTGGCTGGGCTTTAGATTTTCTGGGTTCCCTTCTAGGGTTCCAGCTGAAAACCCTAAAATGAGAAAGAATTCCAGTGAGAGAGAGATCTTCTTCCAGTTAAGAGAGAGAAAGTGAAGAACCAAAGGAAGAAGAAGGAGATTTGGATTTGCCCGAAGCTAGAGGTTTGAAGGTTTTCTTGTCTCAAGGGTGATTCAAGCAACAAGGAAGGAGGATAGTCACCACACCATGGTTCTTTCTTTCATCTTTGTTGTATTGCTTTGCCTAACTATGGAGTAGTGCTCCCTCTCACTTGAGTATTTTGAATCCTAGTCTAGATGTTTGTTAGGATGTAAGAACTTGATTCTATGTGTGTTGATTGTGTGTTTTATATAATATATTTGAGGTATTATTCATGAATTATTGAGTCTTGCTAGCTTTAACTCATTATTGGGTCATTTTGAAATAGGTGGAGAGAATCCCCTTTTGTAAGAGACATTGAGGAGTTGGATTTCTTAGCCAATTTGTGTCATCCACCTAAGCAAATGAGGACAAACCTCAAATATCGGATTAGTGCCATGATTCCATCATGATTGGTTACTTCCGCCGTCCGAATTAACTTTCGAGGGATTGGTTCTTGCAATCCTTGGTTGATCGGTTAAGAGAGCTAGATTTCTTAGCATTTAGTTGCAATCCTTAGCCGAATGGCTAAGAGAGCTAGGCTACCTAGATTATAGTTGCAAACCTTAATTGGTCGACTAAGAGAGATAGGGTTTCCTAGCTAGTTGCACCAGCCTCACTGTAGATAAACACATCCTTCACACTAGAGTTTCGTTCATTGTTTCTTAACATGAGACTAGGGGGAGCAATATCCGAGTGACATCCTCTCAAGTAGAATTCTCCACAATTTACTTTGCTTGTTTGTTTATTTTGTAAAATTTTCTTAGTTTTAAACTCCAAACCATTTGCTTGATAACAACCTAAGTGATTGAAGTATGGGTACATCGATCGGTCCGGGTTGACAATTAAAACGCTTGCTCTATACTGCACTCTGCTAGAGTTTATCCTTGGGCTCTAGTCGAGATTTTATTTTGTGGTTGTCGGTGTGATTCAATTTGGGCAAAGACCTCTCACCCCCAGCACAAGGTTTTCATGTAATGGATTGAATGGTTTGATCATAGTGAATTGGTCAATTGATGTGTTTAATTCTTTATCCATGTTTGTTGCATGTGATATTGATCTTAAGTCTTGAACTAATATAGGTACCATTAACTTAGGTCGTGTAGGGGCTTGATCAAATAGTGAAATTTGAATGATTACATGACCGATGAGTTACGTGAACTGTGTGCTTATGGTGTTAAACCCATTTAAAGAGGATAAGGCATATCCCTGGTTATGGTGATTAATTGCATGACCAGTGGGTTGATTGCCATAGCTAAAAGGACAATTGGGTGCATGACCATTGACCCAATTAGTTTAAAAGAAAATTGAAATTGATAAGATAGAACCGGTTTGGGATAGAAAACCCAAAACCGATACGAACCTCAACGATTCGGTTTAGGTTACAGCCGAAACCAATATCCCAACCCTAATGCTAAGATATTTTTACAGTATGATAATTTGAGAAAAATATTTCATATTTCAAGAAGAGTAATCTACTTTTAGAAAACGGTGGAATCACAAAATGCTCTACCACAACCTTGGATATTCCGTTACATGGCTCGTGCGTGAACCTAGTGAGTCAAATAAGTTAACTGACAATGACAAGGCAAGGCGTCTACTTTTTTACGTAACTCGTTATCCCAAAATTGGCATTCAAGGACTGGCGACCGTATTTAAATGGCGTGGGGTGGAGGCAAGCGACTCGGCTCATTTGCAGCGGGGGGAAGGCAAGGCAATGCAATGCAGATAAGTGAAGCAATCATATTCATAGGTGGCCCTGGTAGGAACAATGACATGTCACCAACGCCACCCTTCGTCCGGATTCGTGCCACGTAGTCACTAATCCAATGTAAAGTAATTGATCTCCCGGGTCCCGCGTTACGTTAGTTGCTTGCTTTGCTGCAGCCAGCCCCGCCCGCCCATTCTCTCGCATTGAAAAATCAAAGTCAAAGTCTTCCCTTGGCCTGGCCTTTCCTTGCCTTGCCTTTCCTTTCCTCGGGCAGGGAGCTATTCTCTCCTCCTCGGGTCCGGCGTTTACCCTTGTTCCCGTCCAGTGATGAAAAGCCCGGAGCCGGCTTCCTACGCTTCCCGGAACCCTAGCTCCGGCTCCCGCTACACCGCCTCCAGCTTCCCTCCTTATTCTCCCACCTCCGCCTCAACCGCCAAGAAGCGCAACCCGGCGGCTGAGGCCTTGAGATCGATCGCCGGCCTCTTCGCTTCTTGCTTCACCCCTCCACAGCCTGACGCCTCTAGCAACTTGGATCCCTCCAATTTTCGTTCTGGTATAGTCTCGGCATGCAGTCTGAAAGCAATCAGCGAATTCAGCGATTGGAAATTGGATTCGATTTCTTTTCTTCTCTTCTCTTTGTTGTTTGCAGTTACGTCTGATGGTTCGGGATCCGGAAAGAGACGACGGAGCTCGGCTGGGGGAAGCAATAGCATCTACGGAAGTCCGACGGACAACCACAAGCGAGAGCCAGGGAGCATGAAATTTACCATTGACCAGATCTACCGAGCTTCCAACTCATTCTCGCCTTCCTTCAAGATCGGCCAAGGTGGTTTCGGGACCGTCTACAAAGGAAAGCTCGATGATGGAACCCTTGTTGCTATCAAGCGGGCCAAAAAGGTTCCATTTCATTTCATTTCATTTCATTTCACCCCTCCCTCCGCCTGCCTGCCTGAGATTCTCCTTCCATACAGCCAGCTAGCTAGCGGACCAGCTCATATATATTTTTGCCTTTTGCAGAGTGTGTATGATAAGCATTTAGGTACGGAGTTTGTAAGCGAAGTCCGGACGCTAGCTCAAATAGAGCATTTGAATTTGGTCAAGTTGTTTGGGTATTTGGAGCATGGAGATGAAAAAATTCTTCTTGTTGAGTACGTCCCCAACGGAACTCTCAGAGAACACCTGGATTGTGAGTTGTGTGTTACCAAGAGAACAAACTCGTTCTTGCATCTTTCTCTGTTTTAATTTGTTTTCCATCATATCATTCATCATGTTGCCTGGCCTGCCAATATCATTCATCATTTTGATTTTTAATTAGACAGCGAAAGATCCTCCTTAATTTGCAGGTACGCACGCAAGTGTTCTCGACCTTTCTGTGCGACTGGATATCGCCATTGATGTGGCCCATGCTGTCACCTACCTTCACATGTACACGGGTAGGGTAATTACGGATTCTCATTCTCTCGAGATACATACAAACAATCCGCCCCCTATCTTAACTCTGTTGCCCAAAATTTCCATGTGCAGATCATCCAATCATTCACAGAGACATCAAGTCATCCAACATTCTGTTAACTGACAACTTTCGAGCCAAGGTGGCTGATTTTGGGTTCGCCAGGCTGGCCGCTGATTCGGAATCAGGAGCTACTCATGTGTCCACCCAAGTGAAGGGAACAGCAGGCTACTTGGACCCAGAGTACCTCCAAACTTACCAGCTCACCGAGAAGAGCGATGTTTATTCGTTTGGAGTACTGCTGGTGGAACTAGTTAGCGCCAGGCGCCCCATTGAACCAAAGCGGGAACCCAAGGAGCGCATCACAACAAGATGGGTACGACGATACTTGCATATAACTCACTCCACTCCCTCAACAAAGAATATAATAGAATATAATATAATGGACCTTCTTCTTTTGCTGTGTTCTCGTTAGTGCAGGCAATGAAGAAGTTTAGCGATGGGAGTGCAAGCTCGATCCTGGACCCGAAACTGGAACACAATGACGCGAATCACTTGGTCCTGGAGAAGATTCTGGAACTTGCCCTGTTGCAGTGTCTGGCACCTCGCAGGCAGAATAGGCCAAGCATGAGGAAGTGCGCGGAGGTACTTTGGGGGATTCGCAAGGATTACAAACAGCTAGCAGCTCTCGAGATACCTTCACTTCCCTCCTATTCTACCTAGGCAGGGCTCCGGATAGAAAACTCAACTCAAGGGTCGGGCGAAACCAAATGCTTTATTTCGTACTAATTCATTCATTCTCAGTGTCACGCCACACGGGTTGCCTTGTCAAGTTTAAACCGTCGACATAGAAACTTGTACGTATGTATATACATATATAGGGGAAAAGCTTGCTGGAGGTGAGATTTACTTGGTTTTTTCTTTTTTTTTTTTTAAAGACAAATCAAGGGATGCAGCGGGTGAAGTGTCGAAATAGGTTAGCCACAATTATCATTGTTTTCTTTCATTTGGCAATCGCAACCACTAGCAGTAGCAGGTAACTGCTGATTGAAGAAGCCAGTGTTGGGAGAGAAGATTTGTTGAAAAGGAAAATCAGAATGCAATCAAACGTGATTTGCTTCTGTTTATTGAGTTCTGTTTTATACACTTTTACAGGAGATACAGTTGAGAGATTGAGGGATAGTGGAGAGAGTACATGAGAAGTGGAGAGATTACAGGAATAGATTGAAGTCGTCATTCGCGATTGGTGGTGTGCTTGAGGCGGCTGGCATGATATATCCTTCGTTGGCGCTCATAGCCAGATAGTAGTGGTTATTCAAACCATGCTGAGTCCCCCATTCTTGATGATATGAATAGAACTGATGATTCTGGGTGTAGGAATACTCACGATCATATGGTGGCGGCAGATGATAGTTGTGATGGTTTTGAGCGGTTTAGTAAATATGCGGCTGCGGTGTATAGGACGGCGACAACTAATTTGAACTTGGCATTGCTCACAGGTTGCGGGAGAACCAGACGATGTGTGATAATGAAGCTAGGGCTAGTTCTTTGATTGGCGCAGCTGGTGATGATCGTTTCATGAGTTCCCTCTTTTTTTGGATTCCGATGTCGAGCACAACCAGGCTCTGATAATTAGAGCTTCCACGCAACGTGTCTCGCAAGAATCGAACTATAAACTAAAGAAATAGACTTAGGACAAAGATAATTAGGACTAGGACGATCATAAATAAACTTAGGACGAATAAAAGTCAGGCGATAGAAGAACAAAGCAAGAAAGTGATTTGGGTTCCAATCTTCTCATATCATTAAATGAAAGACGAAGTGCATACTTTTAGGTATAGAACATCTCATTCTCCTATCTAAAACATGAATACTTCTCCCACAAGGAAACAATAACTAGTTCTTAAACAACTACTAAAAGCAATCCAAATCCAACTAGAATAAATAAACAATAATAATATCCCAAATGATGACATACAAACTATTTAATAAAACTACTAAAAATAGATGAGGTTAGAAATTCCTAAATTATTACGAATGACTCGTATCGTAACACTTTGTTCCTTCTGCTGTCCTACATGTCTCTTGATTGTATTCAAGGTTGTTAATCCGGATCACATCATTCATCTGGTCAAGTAACTATTGTTTGAACTAACTCGCTCGAATCTACACTACAATTAAACCTCAATTAGAGCCCAAGTTTTAAAACTCTAATCAAGTGTAGTATAGGGCAAGTATCTATATATCCACCCGGGTCGGTCCGTCTACCCCTACTTCGGTTGTTGAAATCATTATCTAGCGATAAAACTTTGGTTTAAAGGTTTGCCAATTGAAATGAAAGAAAGCAAATGTAATTTGGTTTGAAAACTCTTTTGTGGGAAAGTCACTTGGGTTTCGCTTCTCTCTAAACCGCTACCATGCAACGTGGGTTTGAACGATTGACTTGGGCAAGCTAATCGTGAACCGCAGAGGAAAGCGTATGTGTTCGGGGACCACAGTCTCGATTGCTAAACCGAGGTGAGGATGAAAGGTCGTGTCACTCGACCCTCTCGGTTTAGACAATCGGTAATCGGCTTACTTCCTCACTCAACTCTAAGGTCGAACGGTTTAACCACGATTAATCGACTTGTTCAATTCAATATCAAGGATTGCCCTAACTCAACCTAGTTTAGGTGGCTTGGAAAGCGGAAGGAAAACCAACTCGATTGAGTCTCCCTTAAAAAGGGGGATTTTCCTCTCTAAACTAGGCTAAGTTGGTAAATTAGATTACTAGCACCTAAATGCACAAACTTAGGGGTGCTAAGCACAATTATACACAAACCTAGGATGCTAAGCACAAAATATGCACAACCCTAGGATTCTAAGCACAAAATATGCACAAACTAGGCTGTATATATTATTACTAACGCTTAGGAGCGGTTTATAGTCATGTTGCTTAGAAGCGGTATGCCCTGAGGCGGTTTTGCTTGTGGCGGTTGCATATTATTACTAACGCTTAGGAGCGTTTTATAGCCTTTACGTTTTGCTTTGAAGCGTTATGCTCTGAGGCAGTTTCTAGATTGTTCGGACAATTCTGTTATTTGACACTTAGATGAATTTGGGAAGATGAACGCTCAGCGGCGTTTTCTCATAACTTGGAAATTTAGGACCCCCACGTCTGGCAGGGGTGGTTTTACATGGGATTTTCCCTAAAAGTAGACGCCTACTATCCTTACAAGTCTTGCTCAAAAGACTCAGCGGTCAACGACTTCTCTCCTCTTTAGATCACTCCGCAAAGTACTTCTTCAGGCGGATGGCATTCCAGGTCTTTGCCATTGACTTTCCCTCCATTGTGGCAAGTATGTATGGTGTTGGGCCCAACTTTTCGCCTACAAGATATGATCCCTCCCATGCGGCCGCCAACTTGCCATACCCTTCCTTCTGCTCGAAGTTCCTTTTCAGGACCATGTCACCTCCCTCCAATGGCTTGGGCTTCACTTTGGCATTGTACGCCTTTGCTGTCTTCATCTTTTCTTCCAGAGTTCTGACTAGCGCGGCGTCCCTTCTTGTTTCGACCATGTCCAACTGGTGGGAAAGCGTCTTGTGATTGTCTTTGGGGTTGTAGGCCTGGACGCGTAGTGATGGCAGGAATAATTCAGTTCGCGCAACCGCTTTTGAGCCATATGTCAGAGCAAATGGCGTCTCTCCGGTGGCTTGCTTGTAGTTTGTGCGGTGCGCCCACAGAAAATGGGGAAGCTCCGCGGTCCATCCTCCCTTTTATTCCTTCAACCTCCTTTTCAGACCTCGCAAGATTAGCTTATTGGACGACTCCACTTGTCCGTTGGCTTGTGGGAATGCAACGAATGCCATCTTGCAGGTGATGCGGTTGCGAGCGCAGAAGTTTTCAAATGGTCTGCAATCAAACTGCGTGCCATGATCAGTTATGATAGTGTGAGGTGTTCCAAACCTGATCATTATGTTGTTGAACAAGAACTTCTGGATTTTGGCACTAGTGATCGTGTCCAGCGGTTCTGCTTCAATCCACTTTGTGAAGTAGTCGACCGCGACCACTAAATACTTCTTTCCTAGAGGAGCTGTGGGGAACGCCCCCAGGAGGTCTAGACCCCATTGTGCGAATGGCCATGGCCCCGTGATGCTCTTCAGCTGCTCGCTTGGCAGATGTTGCTTGCCAGCATGGATCTGACACTCGTGACACTTCTGAACTGCCTCCATTGCATCCTTCTTTACCGTTGGCTAGTAGTACCCCTGAAGCAGCACTGTTCTTTTGAGGCTACGCGGTCCCGAGTGTGTCGCGCATGTGCCTTGATGGATTTCCTTCACTACCCACTTCGCTTCCTCTAGACCAAGGCATTTTAGATATGCCCTTGAGAAATACCTTTTACACAGTTGCCCCTCTACCATGGTGTAGTGGGCCGCCTTTCTTCTAAGAACCTTCGCCAAAATTGCATCTTCTGGGATGACATCATTTTGTAGGTAATCAACCAAAGAGGACCGCCAGTCATGATTCTCCCCCACTAGGGCCATCACCTCATATGCTTGAGCTGTCTCCTTTGTTATTGTGACTCGGCGCTCCCCTTCAAAATCCATTGCGGTTGCTAATTTGGATAGAGCATCTGCATGGTGATTGTCTTCCCTTTTCACGTGCTCAAGTTTCCATGAATCCAACTATGCCAGGGTTCCTTTCACTTTTCCCGCTAACTTTGCGAGGGCTTCTTCCTTCACCTCATAGCTTTCCAGCACTTGGTTTACTACCAACAACGAGTCAGAGTAGATGTGTAAGTGAGAAGCTCCCATGTTGATGGCAATCTTCAGCCCGCTGAGGAGCGCGTCATACTCTGCTACATTGTTGGTCTTCAACTCGAGGAATCTATGACAGATTTCGTGTATCACTCCTGTGGGCTTTTCGATGACAATTCCAGCTCCCGCCTCCTTTGCCAGCCGCCCCATCGACAAAAAGACGCCAAACCTCTGCTTCCTCCTTCTCCCTTGTGTTTTCTAGGCCGAATCCCTCGACGATGAAGTCTGCGAGCACCTTCCCTTTGATGAAAGGTCGCAGAGTGTACGCGACGTCGTACTCGTTGAGTTCGACCGCCCATTTGGTCATTCTGCCCGATACATCCATTCCCTTCAAGATCTTCCTTAGCGGGAGGTTTGACAGGATGATGACTTGGTGCCCTTGAAAATAAGGGCGTAGCTTCCTTGTTGCTGACACAACTGCCAAGAGCGCCCTCTCGATGGGCATGTAACGCCTCTCTACCGGAAGGAGTGCCTTGCTTACGTAGTAGACTATATGATCTGAGCCATCCCCATCTCTTCGTACTAAGACCGAGCTAACTGCTTGATCAGAAACCGCCATGTAAAGATATAGGGGCTCACCTTGCCGCGGGGCGCTCCACACGGGAGGTGACGTTAGCTGTTCTGTCAACTGAAAGAAGGCTTTGTCACACTCCGCGCTCCACTGGGAACGGGATGCCGATTTCTTCAGCATCTGAAAGAAAGGAGAACATTTGTCTGCTGGCCTTGGAATGAATCGGCTCAAGACGGCCATTTTTCCATTGAACGCTTGAATTTCCTTGATAGTCTGAGGCGGTCTTAGGCTTATTATGGCTTCTATCTGCTTTGGGTTTGCATCTATTCCCCCGCTGGTGATCATGAATCCCAGAAATTTTCCTGCCTTTGCACCAAACACGCACTTGAGCGGGTTCAGCCGTAGGCGCTCCTTTCTCAGGCTTTCAAATGTCTCCCTTAGGTCCTTCAGGTGATCCTCCTCCCTTTTGCTCTTCACTATGACATCATCGACATACGCTTCCACATTTCTTCCAAGCTGGCTCTTGAAGACCGCATCTATCATTCTCTGGTATGTCGCCCCTGCATTCTTTAGGCCAAATGGCATGACCGTGTAGCAGAAGTTTCCCATGTGGGTCATGAAAGTGGTTTTCTCCTGATCCTCCTCTGACAGGCGGATCTGGTGGTATCCCGAGAACATGTCCAGGAAACTGAGATTTTCATGATTGGCGGTTGCGTCGATGAGCTGATCGATTCTTGGCAAAGGATATGCGTCCTTTGGGCAGGCCGCATTGAGATTTGTGAAATCTATGCACATTCGCCATAGTTCGGAAGCTTTGCAGACGAAAACGGGGTTTGACAGCCAAGTTGGATACTTGACTTCCCTTATGACCTCCTCCAATGCCATTTGCTTCTCTAGGGAAGCGATCCGTCTCCTCTGCTAAATGGGCTT